TAGAGGGCGGGGCGTGGTGGCTCAAGCCTGTAATCCCAGCACTTTGGGAGGCCGAGGTGGGTGGATCACAAGGTCAAGAGATCGAGACCATCCTGGTCAACATGGTGAAACCCCGTCTCTACTAAAAATACAAAAAATCAGCTGGGCATGGTGGCACGTGCCTGTAATCCCAGCTACTCAGGAGGCTGAGGCAGGAGAATTGCCTGAACCCAGGAGGCGGAGGTTGCGATGAGCCGAGATTGCGCCATTGCACTCCAGCCTGGGTAACAAGAGCGAAACTCTGTCTCAAAAAAAAAAAAAAAAAAAAAAAAAATCCATCAGAAATTATTAGAAGTAATTAATGAGTTTAGCAAGGTTGCAGGATATAAGACCAATAGACAAAATCTATTGTACTTATCTATAATGGCAATTAAAAAACAAAATGATTTGCTATTTACAGTAGCATCAAAAGAATAAAATACTTAGGAATAAATTTTTAAGTGTGAAACTTTTTTTTTTTTTTTTTTTTTTTTTTGAGACGGAGTTTTGCTCTTGTTTCCCAGGCTGGAGTGCAATGGCGCGATCTCGGCTCACCGCAACCTCCGCCTCCTGGGTTCAGGCAATTCTCCTGCCTCAGCCTCCTGAGTAGCTGGGATTACAGGCACATGCCACCATGCCCAGCTGATTTTTTTGTATTTTTAGTAGAGACGGGGTTTCACCATGTCGACCAGGATGGTCTCGAACTCTCGACCTCGTGATCCACCCGCCTCGGCCTCCCAAAGTGCTGGGATTACAGGCTTGAGCCACCGCGCCCGGCAAGTGTGAAACTTTTAAAACTCCAAAATATTGCTGAAACATATTAAAGATGACCAAAATAAATGGAAAGACACCCATGTTCATGGATCCAAATACTTAATTCTGGGGCCAGGCATGGTGACTAACACCTGTAATCCCAACACTTTGGGAGGCTGAAGTGAGAGGATCACTTGCAACCAGGAGTTCAAGATCAGCCTGGGAGAGACCCTGTCTCTACAAAAAATGAAAAAAAAAATTAGCGAGGTGTGCTGGCACATGCCTATATTCCCTGCTACTCAGTAAACTGTGGTGGGAGGATTGCTTGAGCCCAGGAGTTCAAGCTGCAGGAATTTGTGACCATGCCACTGCACTCTATTCTGGGTGACAGAGGAAGACACTGTTTCTTTAAAAAATAAAAAAAAAATTTAAAGAAAGGCTTATTATTTTTTTTTTTAAGAGACAGGGTCTTGCTCTGTCACCCTGGCTGAAGGGTGATAAGATCATAGCTCCCTGAAACTATAGGCATGTACTACCATGTCCAACTAACTTATCTTATATTTATTTTTTCATAGATACGGGGCCTTGCTATGTTGCCAAAGCTGGTCTTAAACTCCTGGCCTCAAGCAATCCTCCCAGTCCTCCCCTTGGCCTCCCAAACCCCTGAGATTACAGGCATGAGACACTGAACCCACTAAAAGACTTAATTTTTTTTTTTTTTTTTTTTTTTTGAGACGGAGTTTCACTCGTTACCCAGGCTGGAGTGCAATGGCGCATCTCGGCTCACCGCAACCTCCGCCTCCTGGGTTCAGGCAATTCTCCTGCCTCAGCCTCCTCAGTAGCTGGGATTATAGGCACGTGCCACCATGCCCAGCTAATTTTTTGCATTTTTAGTAGAGACGGGGTTTCACCATATTGACCAGGATGGTCTCAATCCCTCGACCTCGTGATCCACCCGCCTCGGCCTCCCAAAGTGCTGGGATTACAGGCTTGAGCCACCGCGCCCGGCCAAGACTTAATATTTTTTAAATGGCAATATTCCCCAAACAGATCTACAGATTCAACACAGTCACTATCAATATTCCAACTGGTTTCTTTGCAACAACTGACAAACTGAACCTAAATTTCTTCTTCTTTTTTTTTTTAAATTTGAGACAAAGTTTTTCTCTGTCACCCAGGCTGGAGTGCAGTGGCACAATCCCAGCTCACTGCAACCTCTGCTTCCCAGGTTCAAGAGACTCTCCTGCCTCAGCCTCCCAGGAGCTGAGATTACATGAATGCGTCATCATACCCAGCTAATTTTTGTATTTTTAGTAGAGATGGGGTTTCAGCATGTTGGCCAGGCTGGTCTCAAACTCCTGATCTCAGGTGATCCCACTGCCTCAGTCTCCCAAAGTGCTGGGATTACAAGTGTGAGCCACCACGTCTGGCCTGATCCTAAATTTCATATGGAAATACTATGGACCTAAAGCTGCCAACACAATCTTGAAAAGAAAAGGATGAAGTTGGAGGACTCACACTTCTCAATTTGAAAATTTATCACAAAGCTATGGTAATCAAGACAGTGCGGTACCAGTGTTAAGAAAAGAATTGAGAATCAATGGAATAAAATTGAGAGTCCACAAATAAATCTATATATCTATTGCGAAGTGATTTTCAACTAGTGTGCCAAGATAATTTGATGGGTGAAAGAATTGACTTTTCAACACATTATGCTGGGATAAATAGATATCCACAAGGAAATGAATAAATTTGGAACCTTGCCTAAAAAAATTAACTCAAAATGAATCAAAGGCCTAAATGTAAGAGCTGAAACTATAAAACTTAAAAAGAAAATATAGGCATAAATCTTTGTGACCTGCATTAGGCAACAGTTTCTTAAATATGATACCCCAAACACTAGCAAGTGAAGAAAAGATTATATACATAGTTGATCTCTCAAATCAGCTGTGTTTTTTTATTAATAATAAAATATTCTGCAAAGGAGACTTTTGGCAGCTCTTTAATGAATGTAGGAAAAGCTGGTAGACCCACCTCTTCACCTAAAAATTTTAGGGCCAGGTGTGGTGGCTCACCTCTGTAATCCCAGCACTTTGGGAGGCCAAGGTGGGTGGATCACCTGAGGTCGGTAATTTGAGACCAGCCTGACCAACACGGAGAAACCCTGTCTCTACTAAAAATACAAAATTAGCTGGGCATAGTGGCGCATTCCTGTAATCCCAGCTGCTCAGGAGGCTGAGGCAGGAGAATCGCTTGATCCTGGGAGACCGAGGTTGAGGTGAGCCGAGATGGCACCACTGCACTCCAGTCTGGGCAATAAGAGTGAAACTCCGCCTCAAAACAAACGAACAGAGATTAAAAACTTTTACGTTGGGCCGGGCGCGGTGGCTCAAGCCTGTAATCCCAGCACTTTGGGAGGCCGAGGCGGGTGGATCACGAGGTCGAGAGATCGAGACCATCCTGGTCAAAATGGTGAAACCCCGTCTCTACTAAAAATACAAAAAAATAGCTGGGCATGGTGGCACGTGCCTGTAATCCCAGCTACTCAGGAGGCTGAGGCAGGAGGATTGCCTGAACCCAGGAGGCGGAGGTTGCGGTGAGCTGAGATCACGCCATTGCACTCCAGCCTGGGTAACAAGAGCAAAACTCCGTCTCAAAAAAAAAAAAAAAAAAAAAACTTTTACGTTTCAAAAGATACGAGAAACTGAAAAGACATCTCTGACTGTGACAATAAGTTTTCAAATCAGGTATCTGATAAGGGAATATATATATATATATATATATATATATATTTCAAAACTCCTACAGCGCAATAATAAAAAGACAATTACCAATTTTAAAATGAGCAAGGAATCTGAATGTATTTCTCTAAAGTAAGATATGCCAATGACCAAAAAGCACATTAACATATTAAAAGATGTTCAACAACATTAGTCCTCAGGGGGATCCAATCAAAACCACAGTGAGATCCTCTTCAAACCCACTAGGATGGCTATAATCAAAAAGATAGAAAACAGCTGTTAGTGAGGATGTGAAGACATCAGAAACCCTCAGACACTGCTGGTGGCACTGTAAAGTGGTGGCCACTTTGGCAAACAGTATAGCTGCACTGTTCCTCTAAAGTTAAATATAGAGTTATCATGCTACTCCGCATTTTCATTCTAGGTACATATCCAAGAGAAATGAAAACCTATGAGCACACAAAAACAAACAGACAAATGTTCACAGCAGCATTATTTAAAATAGCTCAAAAATGGAAACAACCCAAATGTCCCACTAATGGATGGATTTTTAAAATGCAGTATACAATGAGATACTTACTATGCAGCTATAAGAAGGAAGTACTGATATATGCTAAAACATGGATGAACCCTAAAAACGTTAAGCTAAGTGTCAGAAGGCAGTCTTAAGGGAACACATTCACTTGGAATGCTCAGAAGAGGGAAGCCATTAGAGACAGAATGTAGGCCTGCCATGGATTGGGGAATCAGGGAGGCTGGGGAAAAATGGGGGAGTGACTGCTAACGGGTATGGGGTTTCTTTTTGGATGATAAAAATGTTATGCAATAGATTGTGGTGATGACTACGTGACTCTGTGAATATACTAAAAACCACTGAATTGTGTACTTTAAATAGGAGACTTATAAGGTATGTGAATTAGACCTCTCCCTGAACCACTAAGCTGTTCAGGGAGAGAGAGAGGAAGGAGGCCATCTATTGGGTGTCTTCAGGCCTCATCAAGTCCTGTTTAGAGTGTGCTATGCCACATGAGCTGAATGTGGATCTTACCTCCATGGAGAACTTCCTTGTGCCCTTCTGAGCTGGATTTACAGGGGGAAAAAATCAAGGCCCATTTCCTACTTATTATATCACCAATGGACCCACAAAAACTAAAAAATTAAATATAAAATAATATAGAAGCCTAGTAACTTAAGAATAACTCTTTAAAAAGTTCATACCCCTTCAATACAATTACATAATCAATGCAAGAAGGCCAAGAAACTTTTCCAAAGAATTTTTATTTCCCATGAATTCATTTCAACAATCAAGTCTTAACAGCATTCCAGGAGAAAGACTAATATAGTCACAAAATAAAGCAAAAATGTCTGGTACTTATAACAAACGTTTTTGATGCCTTTAGAGTGGAAGTTTTTGTTACAGGGAAGGAGAGAAGTTGATAAGAACCTGAAGAATATGATTCCTGAGAGTATTTTAGAATAATTTTCTACTTTTTTTTTTTTTGAACATAAACTCAAGATTTTATTGTCTTCATAAAAGATGACACTTAGAACTGGATCACTTGGCCCTTTCTCTTCTTATCTCCTCCCAGTTCAAAATGCTTGCATCTTTTAATAGCCAGCATTCTCTTAGATCTGCAGTTGGGCTCAACGCACTCGAGCCTTAGCACAATCTTCTTTGTAGTTTTAGCCTTTTTCCGGAAAATCGGCTTAGTCTGCCCACCATAGCCACTCTGCTTCCTGTCATAACGCCGCTTTCCCTGGGCATACAGAGAATCCTTGCCCTTCTTGTACTGTGTCACTTTGTGGGGTTGGTGCTTGCCACACTTCTTACAGAAAGTCCGGCGGGTTTTAGGAACGTTCACCATTTTTGCGTGAGCGCTACCGGCACGGAAAAGTAATTTTCTACTTTGTATTAGAAGCAGCATCCTAAGGACAAGTGTCACTGCTCTTGCCCCTGAGATGATAAAGCTACCATTGGTTGCAGGCCCACTCCATCGCATGCAGGGCACCAACCCTCTCACGTGTATTCCCTCACTTGATCTTCATCCACAACTCAAGAGGCTGTGGAGATCCTCAATGTCCTCCTAAAGTCCCTATTTTGACCTGTAGCTCTCAAGTTCTTCTAACTCCCTGCTGTCCTGAGAGGTATCACAGAGCTGGGATTTCTTTCAAGCCGAACTCCACTACTAAGGAGTCAAGGTTTTCCAGTCCTATTAAAGTGACTGTCTAGGTCACCTCTTCATTCAAACTGGATGATGGATGTTGAGTACCTACTGTTTTCCAGAGACAGTTTCAGGCACTTAGCTACAGAGAAGTAAAACATCTGGAACCCCTCCCACACAGTAAAGTCAGAGTGAGGAAGACAACAGACAGACGCAATAGAGCAGTGATGCTAGGAGAGCTCTTTGGAGTAGGGGTGTCAGGGAAGAATTCCAGAGTGGGTGACATTTGAGCTGAACTTTAAAGACTGGAAACAAATTAGAAAAGGAGGAGGAGGCCAGGCGCGGTGGCTCACACCTGTAATCCCAGCACTTTGGGAGGCCAAGGTGGGCGGATCACTTGAGGTCAGGAGTTAGAGACCAGCCTGGCCAACATGGTAAGACCTCATCTCTACTAAAAAAAAAAAAAATTAGCTGGGCATGGTGGCAGGCACTTGTAGTCCCAGCTACTCAGGAGGCTGAGGCACAAGAATCACTTGAACCCGGGAGGCAGAGGCTGCAGTGAACCAACATTGTGCCACCGCACTCCAGCTTGGACAATAGAGTGACACTTGTCTCAAAAATAAAAACAAAATAAAATAAAAGGAGGAAGAAAGGCATGCTAGGTACAACAACAGCATATACAAAGGTGTAGGGACAGAAGAGCATGGTTTATTCAGGGACTAACAAAGAGTTGATCACTGCTGAAAGGTACAGTGCAAGGGTAGAGAGAGGAGAGGAAGTCAACAGGGCGTCATCACCAAGGACCACACTAAGGAAACTGGACTTCATCCTGATGAGGACAGAAAACCACAGAAGGAGGGTGATCAACCTGTCCCCCAGGCAATCCACGTAGCCTTCTGCTTAGACCGATCTTTATCCAGCAGACCCAAACACACATGCCCAGCATTCAAGTCCCTCAACATGTTGTCTGCACAAATTCACCCTAACACCTCCCCTCCCTGCTCCAGAGGCCTTGCATGCTGAAGGTCCTTGTTCTTTCTTCCACTCAACCCCTTGCAGACTACCCTGACTGCCACCTCCGGCTGATGGGAAGTGCCATTTGCTCCTCAGCTCCAGCACTGATTCGTATTCATGTGCTTGGCTCTTAGCAGCAGCAGAGGGCAGAAGAGACCCATAAATACTTCGGACAAATTTGTCCCAGCCAGATAAAAATAGCCCCAGACACAGACCTGGTGCAGGGCTTCCCAGACTTTCCCATGCATATGAATTCAGCGATCTTGTTAAAATGCAAATTCTAATTCAGTAGTGGCAGGGTGGGATGGAAATGGTACTTTTTTTTTTTAAATGTTTTCTTTTTTTTTAAAAGATGGGGTTTCACCATGATGGCCAGGCTGGTCTTGAACTCCTGACCTCAGGTGATCCACCCACCTTGGCCTCCCAAAGTGCTAGGATTACAAGCGTGAGCCACGGCACCCAGCTTTTTTTTTTTTTTTTTTAAATTTTTTTTTTTTTTGAAATGGTACATTGCTAACAAGCTCCCAGGTGATGTTGAGGCTGCTGGTCCACGCAGCACACTTTGAGATAACAGCACTTTTTTTTTTTTTTTTTTTTTTTGGAGACAGAGTCTCGCTCTATCACGCAAGCTGGAGTGCAGTGGCGTGATCTTGGCTCACTGCAACCTCAGCCTTCCAGGTTCAAGCAACTCTCCTGCCTCAACCTCCTGAGTAGTTGGGACTACAGGCACATGCCGCCATGCCTGGCTAATTTTTGTATTTTTACTAGAAACGGGGTTTCACCATATTGGTCAGGCTAGTCTTGAACTCCTGACCTTGTGATCCACCCAACTCAGCCTCCTAAAGTGCTGGGATTACAGGCGGGAGCCACTGCACCCAGCCAAAAACAGCACTTTTCAGATTGAGGAGAAATATGTTTTTTCTAAATTTCCAATCTTTCCCAGACCAATACACTTCAGGAAAAAAAATAAAAATGAATAACAGGAAAAATTAAACTTTCAAAATGACATACAAACCATGTCAACTTTATATTATCAGATTCAATAAACATAGTATTACTCTATCAAATTACAAGGTCAGCTGAGTGAGTTCTCCCATCATTCTTCTCATGAAGACAACATCAACTGCAGTAACAAAAGAAACCCAAGGCACCCTCCAACCAGGTTTAACTCCTGCCACTGGATTTTATGGCCAAAGCAGGGAGGAAATGTACTAAAGGAACACAAGGCAATTGTTTTGGGGCTCCATTAATATATTCCCCACTATAACAGAGTTTATAGAAAATGATTTTTGATGGGCAGAGACCCCAACGTTTGGACACCTACCTTGCCACTCTTCCTCGAAGATCTCCCAAACCGGAGAGCTGGCGCATCTCCAGGGTCTTTAAGGCAGAATTAGTTCCATAGCTAATATTGTCCCGGGCACGAATCTGCTCCTGGAGTACCTGGGCAACATAAAAACCAGTAAAAGAGTCATCTGAGAATTCACATGCTTCCACAAAACCATCTATACTTTTGGCAAAAATGATAATGTTTAACTCAGTCTTTCATAAGCGACTCCTTTTCTTTCTTTTTTTATTTTTATTTTTTTTTTGAGACTCCTTTTCAACTGATACACATTCAAGCAGAAAACTAGGAGGCCTAGAAAGAGAGAGACCTTTGAGGCTGTTCCCAGAACAAGTTCCTTAATTTACCATCAAAAACTGAGTTCCTTCAGTTTTATTCTTTCTTCCTTAGTAATGAAGCCATTTTCTTTCTTCCTTCTTTCCTTCTTTGTTTCTTTCTTTCTTTCTCTCTCTCTCTCTTTTTTTGGAGTCTCACTCTGTTGCTCAGACTGCAGTGCAGTGGCACAATCTCGGCTCACCACAACCTCCATCTCCCAGGTTCAAGTGATTCTCCTGCCTCAGCCTCCCAAGTAGCTGGGATTACAGGCGACCGCCACTATGCCCAGCTAATTTTTTATATTTTTAGTAGAGAGGGGGTTTCACCATGTTGGTCAGGCTGGTCTTGAACTCCTGACCTCAGGTCTCCCAAACTGCTAGGATTACAGGCTTGAGCCACCATACCCGGCCTCATTTTCTTTATTTTCCTTTCTTTTGTTCTTTTATTTTTTGAGATGGAGTCTCTCTCTGTTGCCCAGGCTGGAGTGCAGGGGCGCAATCTCAGCTCACTGCAACTTCTGCCTCCCAGGTTCAAGCAATTCTCCTGTCTCAGCCTCCCAAGTAGCCGGATTACAGGCATGTGCCACCACACCTGGCTAAGTTTTGTATTTTTAGTACAGATGGAGTTTCACCATCTTGGCCAGGCTGTTCTTGAACTCCTGACCTCAGGCTACCCACCTGCCTCGGCCTCCCAAAGTGCTGGGGTTACAGGTGTGAGCCAGGCACTGGCTGGCATTGTCTTCATAATACAGTGTTTGCTGGTTCCATAGATTGGATATGGAATGTTTTCCTTTTTCAATATTTTAATTGCAGTTTTGAATTTCTTTTTGATCTAAGGATATGTTAGGCATCTAAGGATTACTTAGAAATGTGTTTTTTCGCCGGGCGCGGTGGCTCAAGCCCGTAATCCCAGCACTTTGGGAGGCCGAGGCGGGTGGATCACGAGGTCAAGAGATCGAGACCATACTGGTCAACATGGTGAAACCCCGTCTCTACTAAAAATACAAAAAATTAGCTGGGCATGGTGGCGCATGCCTGTAATCCCAGCTACTCAGGAGGCTGAGGCAGGAGAATTGCCTGAATCCAGGAGGCGGAGGTTGAGGTGAGCCAAGATCGCGCCATTGCACTCCAGCCTGGGTAATAAGAGCGTAACTCCGTCTCAAAAAAAAAAAAAAAAAAAAAAAGAAATGTGTTTTTTCATTTTCAAGCAGTTAAGGCTTTTGTTGGTTATTTGTATTATTTATTTCTAATTGTACTGACTTGTGATTAAAAAAAAAAATTCCTGCTGGGCACAGTGACTCATGCCTGTAATTCCAGCACCTTGTGAGGCTTGAGGTGGGCAGATCACCTGAGGTTGGGAGTTTGGGACCAGCCTGACCAACATGGAAAAACCTCATCTCTATTAAAAATACAAAAAATTAGCCAGGCATGACGGTGGACACCTGTAATCTCAGCTACTTGAGAGGCTGAGGCAGGAGAACTGCTTCAACCCGGGCGGTGGAGGTTGTGGTGAGCCGAGATCGTGTTATTGCAATTCAGCCTGGGCAACAAGAGTGAAACTCCATCCCAAAAAAATAAAATAAAATAAATTAAAAAATAAATATGTCTGACACAGTGGCTCATGCCTGTAATCCTAGCACTTTGGGAGGCTGAGGTGAAAGGATCACTTGAGGCCAGAAGTTCGAGCCCAGCCTAAGTAATAAAGTAAGACCATATCTCTACAAAAAAATTTCAATTCACGTAAAATTTCTTCTCCTAAGTAATTAGTATTTCTTCTCTGTCTGTTTCTTTTTCTCCTCTGAAACTCCTATTATGGACATGCTGGGCGTCCTGGATCTGTCTGCAAGGTTTTTAGCTTTTCCCTTGGGCTTCCTCTCTCTTTGCCTTTGGTTGTAATGTCTCAGGGATTTCTTCTATTTTGTCTTGGGGCAACTGATTGCCTCTCAACCTACTGACTTTGCTTTAATTTTTAATTTTTGTGGGTACATGGTAGATATATATATTTATGGGGTATATGGAATTTATTTTTAAAATGAGTCTCACTCTGTCACCAAGGCTGGAGTG